TTTTTTTTTTTTTTTTTTTGGTAATCTTTATGGAAGCAGACTGCCTCATCTTCCTCCCACAAAGCAGCTGGTGGTTTTGAACTACTAACCTTTACATTGACAGCCAAGTACCTTAAGCACTATGCCACTGGGCTCCTGTGGGCAGTACAGGGGGAACTTCTTCTTGAGGCCCCCAATACCCACAGCTGACTGTCACCTAACTCTGCCAACAGCAGCACCCTCAGGCTCCACCCAGCAGAGGCTTGGAGCTGAAGTGGTTCCCAGCTGGGAGCTGGCTGGGGTGGAGAGAGCAAGGTCCACAGGGTGCAGTGGGGTCAAGAGGGACGGACAGAGGTTGCTGGACCAGCCCACAGGGCCCCTGGAGCTGCCTCTGAGGCCCGACTGCACACAACCAGATCTCACAAGACCCCTGGCCCTTCCCCTGCCCACCCAGACTGTCACATGCCTGATGCTGGAAGCCTGCTCTACACCAGGGAGCAAGCACCCATGCTCCCCCTCCCAGGTACTCAGATAATTTGCCCAGCCTTATGCTGAGGAACCGAGGCAGGTGTCCTACAAGCACCCCGCTCTCCCACACCCTCTTAAGCCCCATCTCAGTGTCTGCAGACCCTGCCTGGGTGGGGAGAGGTGCAGGGCTTTAACCTGTGAGGGCACAGAAGCCAAGCAGAGGCCCAGCTTGCAGCCCCCAAGGAGGGCAATTCAGGTTCAAGTAGAAGCAGCTGTCCTGAGAGGGCTTAAGACTGCGGCCGGCAGGTGCCCGCGGTGAAGGTGAGCTGCGTGCAGGCCTCTGACCCGCCTCCTCTTGCCCGCTCATGTGGCCCTTCTCAAGCAGCTCTCTCTTCCCACCCCCCACTGAGGCCTGGCTCCAGAGAGCTGCCTCAGACCCCGAGGCCCAAGGCTGGGGGGCCTGGAGCAGGGCCAGGAAGCCCCCTCTGGGCCCAGGATGCGGGGAGGAGGAAGACAAGAAGGAAGAGGACGCTGAAGACTCAAGCTTCCTGCTTTCTCTCTTGGAGAGGGAGAACCTGGCCGAGTGCCCGGTGCCTGAACAGGTGACAGCCATACCTGACCAGATGACAGCCATACCTGACCAGGTGACAGCTGGCGTGGGCCACGTAGAGCGTCCAGGGACCTGGGCAGGGCCCGTGCCACTCTGATGTCCCTGCCCCACCCTTGGGGCTGGATGGTGCCGCTCTAGCTAAGATAGGAGGGCGCTGCCCGCCTCCTCCCACAGAGTCCAGGCTCCTCTCCCACCAGCTTCAGGGGAAGCTGGGCTCTCTGACCTGGGGGCCTTCCCAGTGGAGACTTTGGGGTCCTTTCTGTGGGCCGTGAGGGCGCCCCACAGGTCAGGTATAGCCCTGGAGGCGTCAGTAGCCTTGGTGCTGTGTCTGCAGGAGCTAGAGGCCATCAAACTGAAGCTGTGGGCCATCGCGGAGGCCCGGGAACCAAGAGGGCTGCCCGCCGAGTCCAGGGCTGCCGTGGGAGAGGAGGGCTCGGGGGCCACGCTGGCTGTCCAGCGGCTGCCGAGTCCCGAGACCGGTAGGAACCACCAGCCCCCTCCCTGCTTGCTATCCAGCATGTAGGCTCCCCCTCCCCTGAGAATAGGCCCCTTCGGGCTGCCCTGGGGTGCAGCAGGCAGGGCCCCAGTGGGTGAAGTGCTGGTCCAAGGGGATCCAGGGTCTCCACAAGGCCCAGGCCTGGTCTGGGGTGTTCGAGACCCACCCCCAGGTGTGCCTCCCCCAAGGGGTAAGAAATGTGCCCAGCACCACCCTGAGACCCCATCCTCGCAGGTTCCCCCTTCCTAGCGAGCCCCCATGAGAAGATGGAAGCTGACCACAGATCTGTCTACGTGGGCAACGTGAGTGGGGCGCGAGGTTGGGTTAAGTCCTGAGTGGGGCTGCTCTGCCCCCTCTCGTGGGGTGGCCAGCCCCAGCGGGGACCCCTGAACAACTTCCCCCGGCTGCCGGGAGTAGGGGAGACAAGTAGGAGGGGCAGGCCTGGTGTGTGGGGGTGACTGTCCCCTCAAGGCCTTCCAACTCCTCAACACAAGCTAGGACTGGGATCTCCATGTGAGATGTCCTGGCTGCCATGATGGCCACTGATCCCACCCTTGAAAAGCTACACACAGACTCTGCGTGGCCAAGTGCACAAATGGGATCCCCACAGGGAGCAGATGATGGTTCCCCTGAGCCTCCACCCCCAAGCCTGGAGGAGCTGAGAAAGGGTGGGGCTGGAGGGAGCGGCCTGCCCTCTCTCCAGAAAGGTCCTCAAGTGCCAACACCTGTGCAGGTGGACTACGGGGCCACAGCCGAGGAGCTGGAGGCCCACTTCAACCCCTGTGGGGAAATCCACCGTGTCACCATCCTGTGTGACAAGTTCTCCAGACACCCGAAGGGGTCAGTAGCAGGTGCTGGCCGAGGGGCAGTGTGGGGAAGGGACACAAGGCGGCTTGAGGCCAGGATGGCCCCAGTGCAGCCCTGATCACAGCCCCGCCCCCTTCCAGATATGCCTACATAGAGTTTGCCACCGAGAGCTCCGCCCAGGCCGCCGTGAAGTTGGACGAGAGCGTCTTCCGGACGCGCGTCATCAAGGTGTGGGCATGAGCTGTGCACTGTGGAGCGGGGGCAGGGGGGCCGGCTCTGCTGCACACACGTTAACTCACGAGCCCCTGGGAGACAGGGCGATGGACGCAGGGAGGCCATGCACCCCACTCCACACTCCGCAGAGTCCCTGGTTGGCTGGGACACCAGGTATGGGGTCCCCACCCAAGCTGGGCCCCCTGCACCGGCAGAGAGTGACAGTGAAAGGGGCCGTCAGTGCACGTGACCTCGTTGCATGCAGATGAAGGTGGACAGACGGGAGCTGATCCTGCCCGGCTCAGGCCTGAATGGGGGTGCGACCACACACTCGGTCTGACGGTCCGGCTGGCCCCATGCCTGGGGCGGCCATTGTGTGGGTGCCCCGGCGCGGAGGAAAGGCTGCAGATACAGTCATTCAGTGTGTTGCAATTCATCTGAGGGAGTCTGGCAGTGTGGGTGCCAGCTGGCTCTGTCACTGGCCATGGACCCATCCTGATCCAAAATGTCTGTAAGGAGTGGCACTGTGGGAGGTGTGGGTATGCTACAGCAAGGCTCTGCCCCTAGACTCAGGGCAGGCATGTGGGGTGTGCACACATGAGACCAAGGAAACCCAGGAAGACTCCCTGGAGGCGGTGCTGATGGTGGGCCTGGTGCAGGGTTGGATCTCCACTGCCCTGGCAGGGAGGGGAGCGGTGGGGTGTCGCCCTCGGCCTGACGCAGCCTCCTGTCCCAGGTGCAGCCCAAAAGGACCAACTTCCCAGGGATCAGCTCCACAGACCGAGGGGGCCTGCAGGGGCACCCGAGCGCCAGGGAGGGGCCCTTCCACCGAAGCAGTGTCCAGGGTGGGCCCAGGTTCAGAGCCCGAGGGATGAACTGGTGAGTACAGCTTGGCCCCAAGGCAGTGAGCATCCCACACAGGGTGCCCAGGGGAGGGCCCAAGTCAGGGCCAGGGGCTTTAGGCAGCTCGTGATTAAGGCTTTATTGCAATGCTCTGCCCAGAGGGCCCGGAGTCCTAGCTGTGCCTTGCATCTGACATGGCCCTTGCAGTCCTGGGTGTCTGCAAGGCCCTGACCGTGCTGTCCTCTCCGTACAGGGGACGTGGCAGACCCTCCCTGTGGTTCTCACCCTACTGACTGATGGACTTCGCAAGTGGGGCTGCGGGCTGGGGCAGGAGCACACAGCTCAGTGACCCGGGAGCACTTGGTGCAGGGCTTGGCGGGTCTAGGGAGCCATGTGGGGTGCAGAGGTGGGGCGTGGTCGGGGTTCCCCGAGAACTGCTGCCCCGACACTGTGGTGGGAGGACAGCCTGGCCAGGCACGGGGCTCAGCAGGGGCCTGACAGCTCGGGGCAGGTGGGGGGTGGGGGGTGCAGGGCAGCATTCTCTGGGCTCCTTAACGGACTTGTTTTAAAGAAAATACCAATGAGTGTTGTGTCTTAAAGTAAAGCATAACTTAATAAATGTGAAGAATTTTTAAAAGCATGTGACAACAGGCTTCCCTTTTACTCTCTGATTTTAGATACTCGGGTCACTGTGTCCTTGTGGGGTGCAGACTCCAGGTGCTGGTGGGTGTGGCCACAGGTCAGAGTGAGCTGGGCCCCACCTGACCACCAACAGTCAATGGTCAGGGCTGGAGCCACATACAGGCCCCAGGTGGCCTCTCAAAAAGCATCCACATCCCAATGCTGAGAACCTGCGAGTGTGGCTTTACTGGGAGCAAGGGTCTCGACAGGTCATCCTGGAAGACCCAGGAGCACTAAATCCAACAAGTGTCCCCGTAAGAGACAGACAGACACGCAAAGTGCCCATGACAACAGAACAGAGACAGGTCACGTGGCCACAGCCCAGAACGCCAGTGGCCACAGAAGCTGGAGACCATGGAGGGTCCTTGTGTGCACAGACCCCATGCACCTGCCACTGAGTTCCATCAGGGGACCCCCAAGGTGGCCAGGAGACACAACAGGAGCCAGGCTCTGGATTGACCGACCTCGACGAGCTACGAACCCTCAATCTGGACTCAGCTGACTCATGGCTCAGCAGGTACTGGGGGTGCAGAGCGAGGAAACCCAGTTATACCCCAAAGCAGCCTGCCTGGGGGCAGGGAATGTGGCAGCAGTGGTCCATCTGCCAGCCCGTCTGGAGCTCGGGCCGTTACGTGAAGGGGTCATGCGGCCCCTCCCAGCTCTGCTCGCGGAGGGAGCAGATGGCGGTGGCCAGCAGGGTGGCCTGGTCACCGGGCTCCAGGCATGGACTGCTGAGTCTCAGGCCAGGCCTGGTCTGCACAGAGGGGCTGAGGCAACTGGACCAGGTACAGACAAGCTCCCAGACGTCTATCAATGGGACCAGAAGAGGCCAGGCCTAACCCCAACCAGGATGGTGCAAGGCTACCCCCTCTGCAAACCCCCAGATCTGCCTCCCCACACCCAAAGGCGTTGGGCTCAGGAGGCCGATAGCACAGATCACCTGGGGTGGGGAGATGCCACCTAGGTACACCCTTCCTCCAAGCCTCGCTGGGCTCTGTGGTCACAGCTCCCACCATCTGCAGCCCTCCTAGGTGTGGCCCTGCTTCCCACAGCCACCTACTGTGTGTACCCCCACCTCTGTCCTCATCTCTCTGCTGACTGGAAGGAAAAGGCCAAGTCTGACTTCACACGACCTTTAGTGACTTGCACACAGGAAGCCATGGCCCGGCTGCAGGCGTGCTACAGGCGGGCAAGGCAGGGGCAGCATCCATGCGTCTCATGATACAGTATGTACAGTGTTTCTGGCCGGCAGCAGAGAGGCCTCGTCAGCAGACCTGGATCATCATGGATGTCACCATGTTGTCAAAGGCCCTGCAAGGAGGAGCAGGCAGTCAGGGGAGGGTGGGCTCTCCGTGCTGCTCCCACGGTCAGTCTGTGCTGGGATTAGGGCTCAGTGCCATGCCCCAATGGCCAAGGTAAACCCAGGAGAGCAGACCGGCAGAGCAGGTGGGTAACGGGAGCACACATTCTACCTGTGGGCTCCTGTCCCTGTGTGAGGACCCCCTGGCTGCCCCCCGGCTGCCCCCAGCCCCCCGCCTGGTGGACACCCACCTCGACTGAATGCGGTCTCCTGGGTTGTAGAAAGGGTTGCACATAACATCAGTGTAGGAATTATGCAGTTTCCGGAACATCTGAGGAGAGACCCAATACCACTTAACTCACACGGATACGCCTCTTGGCACCTGAAGTGCAGTAACCAGAAAACCCACTGCCGTCTCCTTGATTCTGACTCATGGTGACCCCCAGGGCACAGAACTTCCCCACAGGGCTCCCAAGGCTGGAATCTTTGCAGAAGCAGCCAGCCACATCCTCTTCCCACAGACCAGCTGGCGGGTCAAACTGCCAGCCTTCTGGGCAGCAGACTCCTGTGCGTGGCGAGCCCACATGTGTAAGGAGCCTGCGTGGGCTCTGTGGGGATTCGGTGGCTGATTTTTCAGAAACAAACCACCAGGCCTTTCCTCTGAGGCCCCTCGGAGTGGACTCTGACCCCCCACCCTCAGTCAGCAGCGAGCACATCTGCAGCGCCTCAGGAACTACCGCTGCTGCTGAGTCAATCACGGCTCGCAGTGCCCCTGGAGCACAAGGTAGAACTGTCCCAGAGGTTCCCAGCACTGCAGTCTCTACAGAAGCAGATTGACACACCTTCCTCCTGCAGAGCGGCTGGTGGGTGTGAACCTGACCACTGTGGCACCAGGGACCCTTAAACCAAAAACCAAACCCACAGCCATGGAGTGGATTCCGACCCATAGGGACCCTAGAGCATAGAGTGGAACTGCCCCAGAGGGTTTCTGAGGCTAGACTCTTTAGGGAAGCAAAGCCCAAACCACACCCACTGCCGGGGAGTCCATTCTGACCCACAGCGCCCCTAGAGGACAGAGTGGAACTGCCCCACAGGGTTTCCAAGGCTGAAATCTTTACGCAGGCCGATCGCCCCATCTTGTCCCACGGACTGCGGGTGGGTACAAACTACCCACCTTTCAGTTAGCAGCTGAGCGCTTAACCAGTGCACCACTAGGGCTCCTTAGAAAGGGGGAAACAAAAGTAACAAAGCACTCCTGAACCTGGCGGGCAGCAAGCCCCACCCAATTAAAACTCAGGGAGCCGACTCCCCCAAACCCTCAGTCTGAGTGCGTGCCCAGAATACCTCGTGCCCCCCGAATCAGTGCTGGCCTGGAGTTTTAACTGCAAAATCACCAAATAAAGACAGAGCCGCTGAAGGACCCCCAGTGGGCACTCACACTGCGTATCTCGTTGTCCCGGAGCGCAGTGTTGGAGGAGTCCACCACCATCACGAACTTCACCTTGGAGTTGGTCACGTAGCCATACCTGAGCCTCTGGTTAGGGAACGTGCTGTCGACACGGGCTGCTGGGACAGCCAAAGAGCCCCACAGCAACCACATGGAGACCATGTACCCAAGAAGGCCTGTCTGTCCACACCCCCATCATACTGGGACAAAACCACACTGAAAAACATGACAACATTGAAATCACAGAAGGTGCCACAGGCCAGCCACACAGGCCACTTGGCGTTGTCCTAGACACCTCCTGCACCTCACCTGATTTAAACCTGGGGACTGACACTCCAGACCTCAGTCTATCTGTGCCTCATCCCCCTTGAATCAGGCCTGGCCCTGGAGCTTTGACTGCACAGCCAGTTGTTTCACAAACCAGCTCCTGTGGAAGGGTTCCTGCCTCTGAAGGCCACATTATCTTGCTAACCAGCAGCTCCCAGGGTCCCAGCTACAGGACTGCCCGCAGCAACACCTCCCGTGAACCGGCTCTCAGGGACTGCTCAGATGGCACAGGTGGCGGTGGGGCTGGACGTGATGGCACAGATAAATGACATCACTCTCCCTTGCTCGAAGGGGCCCCACCAACAAAGCTCAGAAGGAAACCCTCGCAGGAAAAGGAGCAGGAGCCCCACTTCCTCTACAAACCAGTTTCCAGGATGCACGTCAAATCCTGCAGATGAGCCAAGCCTCGCTTTTCCCAAATTATCCTGCCAATTCCCGGAAAAGAGCGTGAGGCCTTTGTCAGCTTCAAGTTGTCCTGAGTCCCTGGTCAGCTGGAAACCCTCACCTTTATTTTCAAGGGATGTTATGAAAAGCATTTCAAAGTTATCGGAGACAAAAATCCACCTGGCAATTTTAGGTGGAACCCCAGACACCAAGCCCTGTGCTGCGTGGAGCACTGCCCTGTGAGGGTCCTCCGCCTGGAGCGCGCAGGATACACCTTGTGGTCCTCAGTGGGGTACAGCAGGCCCAAGTAGAGCTCCCTCTGGTCTACGAGAGCCTTCCCCAGCGCCGAGACCTTCTCGTCCACCACATCCAGCGACGTGTGCACCATGTAGTGGAACTTCAGCTCGTCCTCGGTGGGGACACTGCGGATGTACAGGGGGTAATTCTGCAAGGAAGGAGGATGGCCGCTGAGGTGACAAAAAGCCACTCTGCACAGCCATGCCACAAAAACGAAGTGACAGAGCAGGCGCGAGGCTGGACAAATGGGACCACCAGCCGCAAGCTTTCTCTGAAATGGCTGCTAGGCCGCCAAGTGCTGTGGGCGTCAGCCTCGGGGCCCAGATCTTGTCTCCACCTGAGGCCAGTACTGTCTGCAGAGGGGCTGGAACAGGAAGGACAGAGAGGGGAAGCTGACTGAGAAACCCGGAACTGGCCCGTCCCCACGCACCTGGCATGTCACCTGTGTGTGGTTTCCCTCAGACCCTCCTTGCACCCTGTGGGCTTCGGCCCCAGCACGCACTTGCCCTGGTGCTACAAATCTCTGCTGCCACCCAGTGTGTCACCTACTGCCAAGTGTGCCACCTTTGCAGAGGCACCCAGTGCACCCTTTACTAAACTCCTCGAGTTTCTGTGCCCACAGGGTATGCCACCAGACCCGCAGATCGCAGTGAGGATGCCGCACCCTAACGGGGCCTGCAGCCTGGGGAAGGACAGTCCTGAACTGGAAACAGTGACAGGCAGAGACCATGCTGGGAGGGCGCCACCAGGTGGCCGTGCAGCGCAGTGACAGTTCCCGGGCTGGGTCTTAGAGAAGACCCGGGCAGGACACCAATGGCTGTGTAATTAGCAGTAAGTACAGGGCAGACCGCTCAGTTTAGGGTTCAGAAAAAGCTTTGTCGGGGAAATGAGGTGTGTGTTAGCCACAGAACGGGGTGGGGTCCTGGGAGAGGCGGTCGCGGTGGGGAGAACCCCAGAGATGAAGGTACGGCGCCACTAGGGGAACGCAAGTAGTTCAGCGTGGGTAAGGGGGTACTCGGCTGGGGAGGCAGAGAGAGGCCGACTCTGGGTCTGTTGCAGGGCATCCTGTCACAGGGTGGTGCCTGAGCCGTCCCCAGGCGATGAGAAACCAATGCAGAAACTGTAGCAGGGTGGCTGCAGGGTGCAGAGATGGCAGGAGGGATGGGCAGCGGGCGACCAGGCTGTGGCAGCCGTAAGTGGCAGTTCAGATGGAAGTGGCAGGCCAGCCATGTGTTGGTGAGGAAGGTCAACAGAACTCGCCGATGGGTGGGCGAGGGGGCAGCGGCGCCACGACGCCTCCTGGGCTCCCGGCCGAGAACCGCGGGGAAGATCCGGAGGAAGGCCCGGTGCCTGCGGGGCGCCCGAGGAGGGCTGCGAGTTGGCAGCCAAGGAGGGCAATCGGGGCCTGGGGGGCGCCACTTCTCCAAGAACGCCCCCGAGCACCGCCGCTCGGCGACCGCCTCCGCCAGCCCGTTTAAGGAACCCTCCAGAGTTGGGGAAAAGAGAAAAACGGCGGAGACACAAAGAAAAAGGGTGCTGGGCAGGGGGCCCGCAGGCCTGGCCGTCCCGTCTTCGGATCCCTTATGCGGGCCCCGATGAACACCGGGCGGGGGCAGGAGAGACGGCGATCCCCGCCCGGCCCCGCCGTACGCACCTCCTTCGCTATCACTGCGATGCACACCGCCATCTTTGGAGGCCCGGCAGCCCAGCGGCCGCATCACGTGACCCTCTCGCGGCAGGCCCAGGCCCCGCCCCCGCCGGCGTAGCCCCGCCCTCCCGTCAGTTGGCGGACCCTGGTCCCGCCCCATCGGGCAAGAGCCCAGCCTAGGCCCCTCCCCGCCTACACTAAGCTGTCTCAGATCCCGCCCCTCCGTCACAGGCCAGGCCCTGACCTTTGCCCTCAAGGCCCCGCGGCGCCTTTCTTTCGGCTGACAGTGGCCCCGCCCCGCTGCCGTGGCTCCGCCCCACCTCTCCTGGTTGGCCCGTGCCCCGCGCCGCCTGTCACGTGGCCCCGGCCTTGCCGGAAGAGTGACCAGTGCGCTCGCTTGGTTTCAGCGGTGGTTTTGGCTCCTCAGCGGCCCGGGTGGTAGCCATGGCGGCGATTGCCGCGGCGTCGAGGTGGTGCAGGCTGGTCCTGGTGCTGAGCGCCGTGGGGCTGGGGGCCGTGGGCGCTCCGCAGCCCCCTAACATCGTGCTCATGCTGATGGACGACGTGAGTGCGGGCGAGGGGCAGCGGGAGCTGGGGTGAGGGGTGGAGGCCAGGCGCCCAGCTGCAGGCAGGCCGCCACTCCTTGTTCCGACGAGGGACTTCCGTCTTGACTCCTGCACGCCCACTCAGTGTGGTCGGCCGCCCTCCGCGCTCGTCAGGTGTCGCAGCCTCCCTGCGGGGAAGGAAGGGCCGCCGGGACCAGCTGCAGGAGGGTAGGCTGGTCGCGCCCCAGCGGCACCCCTGCCCCCCTCGCTCCCACTGACCCAGGTGGAGGGTGGGAGGCAGGAAGGGGTACAGAGCTGACTGAATGCTAGGGCTTGGCCTGCCTCTGACCAGCCGTACCCGATTCCCATCTTACCTGGTTCAGGTCACAACTCTCTGAAGCAGGGCTGGATGCGCCTGGCAGGACATTACCTGTCAGGCGCAGGTGCAGCCCGGCCTCCCCTGCAGGTGGGACTCGTGAGCTGTGGGGGGAGGTAGCACCCGCCCTCCAGGGGCCTGAGCTGTTGGCCTGGTATTTGCTGCTTGTTCCTTATCAAGGAGCCACAGGAGCAAAACAGAGAAGCAGGAGTTAGTGGGCATATGGCCGAGGAGGACCTGGGATCCCAGACAAGCCTGGTCCTGCCTTTCCATGGACCCATGGGCTGCCGCTGGTTTTCCCGGCTCTGTGCACCTCTGTGGCTCACCTGTGAGGGGCTGACCCGTACAGGCTTCCAGGTGTCCCATGGTTGTTAGGTGCTTCCGAGTCGGCTCTGACTCACAGGGACCGCGCGCACAACAGAACAAAACACTGCCCAGTCCTGCGCCAGCCCCACCGTCTTTGCTGCATCTGAGCCCACCGTTGCAGCCACTGTTCCTGAGGACTGGGGCACAATATTGACCATCACTGACGCTCACTACACCTTTGTCCCCAAAGAGCTTCATACAGAATTGTTTCACGGGTGTCTCTTCAGTTAGAAATGTACAGTGTTTGTCTGTCTACCCCAAGGACTTTTCCCCTCAAAGCTACAACCCAGGGGCAGCCAGGGCTGAGAACACTTGGTTCACTAAGTTCAGTTTCTCCCTCTCGGGACCGTCGACAACCCCCATTCCTGTTATGGCAGAATGTGTCAGGCCCAAGCCAGCCGTTTCCTGATCAGCGCTAGTGAAAACACATTTCTGCCTTGCTGAAGGCTGCCTGTCCTTCTGTGCCCTTGCAGAGAAGTCATGAGATGACCCCCTCTCACTCACATGAGGGCCTCTTTCCCTTCCTGTAGCTGCTGAGAGCAGCCCTTTGTCCCAATAAAAAAATGATAGATGAGCAGAAAATGCAAAGAGAAAAAAAGCCTTGAGCAACAAAAGTGCAAAGAAAAAGCCCCAACCTCCCAGGAGCCCACTGCCCAGCGCAGTTGCTCAGCACCCGTGTGAGACCTTCCTGTCCTCCTGTCTGTCTCTCTGTACCCCCCCCGCACACACACGTTACACACACATGTAAGACACTCACATATAATCACACCAATAACACGTCCCTCTGGGAAGAAAGCCGATCACCAAGAGCCATGGCTAAGTCGTCTGTGGTCTCTCGGCCTCAGCTGAAACCCTGTCTCCGGAGCTCTGCCTCCACCTCCCACCGCCCTCCCACTCCGGTCACTTCCGTCCTGGTCCCTTTGCCTGTTGTGGATGTCGCACAGAACTGGGATCACATGTGACCCATCCTGGGTGTCCAGCTTCTCTCAGCGGCATGTGCACAGGGTCCACATGGTGTGCCTCAGACCTTCACTTTATGGCTGAAACCTCCCGTCATGTTGACGTGCCTACCCCATTCTGTGTATCGCTCACGTGTTCACGGACATGCGAGTGGTCTCCACCTTTCGGCTGTTGTGGGTCGTGCCACGGTGAATACAGGTATACTGGTGTCTGTCTGAGGCCCTGCTTGCAGGTGTCGGGGTGTATACCTAGGGCAGCAGCCACTGGGTCAGGTGGTGACTCTAGCTTGACTCTTTGGAAGAACTGCCACACTGTGTCCCACAGCGGCTGCGACATTTTAAACGTCTACATGGCTGGTTTGTGAACCCTGGTTTATACACCCTGTTTAGGAGGGCTGGCTTCTGTATAGGGAACCACTATCTAGGTGGACAGATAGACGGCTGTTTCCCGCTGGGAAAGGAGGCAGGAACGCATGGGCAGGCGCCACCACTGGAGGGCAGTCACAGAGAAACAGCCGTAACGGGCCAAGCCCAGGACCACGTGGCACCAGTGCCAGGTCAGGGCTGCTTCTCCCGTGGCTCCCCGTGAGCCTTGCCCCCAGAGAGACCTGCTTCTGTCGGATGGACTCTTACCCGCCTGTCGCTGCTCTTCCTGCAGATGGGCTGGGGCGACCTGGGGGTGAACGGAGAGCCTTCCAGAGAGACCCCAAATTTGGACCGCATGGCCGCAGAGGGGCTGCTGTTCCCTAGCTTCTACTCGGCCAGCCCGCTGTGCTCGCCTTGTAAGTCACTAGCCCGAGGGTGGAGCAGAGGCAGACAGGCGGGGTCGGCCCCAGCCTCACTGGGTTCTGGGCTGCTGTGGTGCACGACAGGGCCGGGGGCCTGGAGGCCTTTCCTGTTGACTCTCTACCTCTCAGGAGTGGCAGGCCCCGTGGTGTGGGGCACCGATGCATCAGGCACTCCATGCATTGGAGTCTTCAGGGGATTGTGGGAGGTCTAAGTGCTGCCTTGGTTACCGTGGCTGTGAGTGACTTGGGGGACAACAGGGACGGGCATCTCATACCCCTCCCCTCTTCCTCCTCGAGGACACACCAGCATAGTCATATAGCCCAGTGACCACTGTCCTGCGCAGTGACTGGGGGGAGCAGTCCCAGGGGCCTGGAAGGACCAGTGGCCTGGGAGATGGGCCCTGCTTTGAGGCCCGCAGTGCAGCTTGTACATGGGGACAGTGGTGCCTGACTTGGGAGCTGCTGAGGGGCCAGACGGGAACCCGAGGCCTTGGTGGCTTTCAGGACCTCCGGTGTGGCACCCGTGTCACAGACACACGGCTCGATTCACCGACATGGCACACAAACGTGGCACACAGACCCTCAGTGCCTTTCTCTCTGTGTCTCTGTGCAGCCAGGGCAGCCCTGCTCACCGGCCGCCTGCCCATCCGCACTGGCTTCTACACCACCAATGGGCATGCCCGCAACGGTACGCCCTCTCCTGGGGCCCATGGGCCAGGTGCCAGGACCTGAGCATGGGCATGTGTAGTGAACGCATGCTGGGTTCCACGGGAGGCCTGTCCGTCCGCTTAGACGAGGTCCTGGTTAGGTCACAGTTTGTGGGCAGATCACCAGGTCTCCTCCCTGGTCCAGGACACACCCCAGGCATCTGTCCCCTTGGAGATCAATGGCACAAGGAGAGGCGGAGTTCAGACAGTGTGCAGGGGACCTTGGGGCCTCTAGATGCAGCTCCCAGAGGAAGGGAGGTTTCAGGTACCTTTGAAGAAAGCAGGGTGTTCAGAGCGGGTTGGGGATCCCAGGAGGGGTGTAGGTGAGTGCAGAGACAGGGCAGCAGAGCGGTGGGCAGGGACTGTGGACTCCGCCCCCACCTTCCACCTGCGCCCCCCACTAACTGCGGCACTGAGAGCACCCTGGCTCCCAACCACAGCCCCGACCCGTATCCTGAGGGCAGTTGAGAGCAGACTGACTTTAGGCCCTTCACCAGCCAACACGAGACAGCTGCTGGCCTGTACACCCCTGACCTCAGCTGCTTGCTCCCCGCAGCGTACACGCCCCAGGACATCGTGGGGGGCATCCCAGCCTCAGAGCGCCTCCTGCCCAAGCTCCTGAAGGAGGCCGGCTATGCCACCAAGATAGTTGGCAAGTGGTGAGTGCCACACAGCCCTCGCTGCTCCACTCTCCAAGGGCATCCCAGAAACTTTCCACGTGGGGACACTCCCAGGAGAAAGAGGCGACTCGAATCCCAGTGTGGGCGCCTCGCATCCGGTCACTCTGGAAAGAGGCGGGCGTGGCTCTCGGGCTCCTCAGGACACGCGGCAGCTCTGCGGTCGGTCACAAGTGTGATGTCCAGTGGCCCAGCGAGGCCCAGATGAGCCCCCATGCACCCTGTCACTGCCTGGCTAGCCCAGCACTGTACACACAGCAGCCCGTGTCAGCTGGGAGCGGCCTTAGCCCGCGGGGAGCATCAGCCGGGAGTATGGGGGTTGTCAGCTAGCAGGGGCGCCTACAGCTAGGCTGGACTGTTCTGATCAGAAGAAAGCCCGGGGAGTGGTGGGCAGGTGGCTCTGAGGTGTGGGACTGGGAACAGCAGGGATGCGCCTGTGTGGCTGGCCTGGCCTGCACGGTGTAGCCTTTCATCTCTGTCAGCCCCTGGGCAATGGTGTTGGCCCTGTTGTCCACTTTGTTGGGGTTTCATGGGTCTGAGCTGCTCCTTTTCACTGCCAGGGCCCGAGGTGCCTGCTCGCCTGCCGGGCCTGGGGGCTAGGCCCTCCCCGTCATTGGTGGGACCTGAGGTGCCTGCTTGCCCTCTGGGCCTGGGGCCCGAGCCCGCCCTGTCTCTGGCAGGACCCAAGGTGCCTGCTCACCCACTGGGCCAGGGTCCAGCTGCTTGGTACCCTGTGGATGCTGCAGCACCGATGCCATGTGAAGTTGCTGGTGGGGTCCTGAGTTCCTGGGTCCCCCTCCCCAGGCACCTGGGCCACAGGCCCCAGTTCCACCCCCTGAAGCACGGCTTTGACGAGTGGTTTGGATCTCCCAACTGTCACTTTGGACCGTACGACAACAAAGCCAAGCCCAACATCCCCGTGTACAGGGACTGGGAGATGGTCGGCAGGTAACTCCCTGTCTCCATGTCTGCCCCTACCTGGTCCCCGTGTACAGAGACTAGGAGGTGGTCAGCAGGCCCACTGCTTGGTGGCCCAGGCCGTGACTCTGTTGCGGAGCCCGGAGACAGCCTCATCCTGGACCCAGATTTCCTGATTCTCTGATGGTTTCAGGTTTTATGAAGAATTCCCCATTAATCTGAAGACGGGGGAAGCCAACCTCACCCAGATCTACTTGCAGGTAGTAGGTGCTGTGGTGGGCAGGCAGGCTGGGTGGGGACTGCCCGGGCGACAGAGATGCCTCTCCCCCAGGAAGCCCTGGACTTCATCAAGAGGAAGCATTCCCGACAGCGCCCTTTCTTCCTCTACTGGGCTGTCGACGCCACACACGCACCCGTCTATGCCTCCAAGCCTTTCCTGGGGACCAGTCGGAGAGGGAGGTGAGTCCAGTCATGGAGCGTTGGCCCCTGAGGGAGGGCCACGGGAGGCCCACCGCCACAGCTGGGGAGCTTCCTGGAGGCCCGTGGCGCAGGGGACGGCACTCTTGGGAACACCCATGCCTTACCACCTAGGGTCCCACAGGTGTGGGGACAGTGCTCTTGGGAATACCCATGCCTTACCCCCTGGGGGATGGTGCTCTCAGAGCACCTGTGCCTTACCACGTGGGGCCCCGCAGGTATGGGGACGCTGTGCGGGAGCTCGACGACAGTGTCGGGCAGATCCTGCAGCTGCTCCGGGGCCTGCATCTCGCAGACAGCACCTTTGTGTTCTTCACCTCAGACAACGGCGCAGCCCTCGTCTCAGCCCCCAGACAAGGTGAGTGTGTGTGCTGGCCGTGCAGGTAACGGCAGAGCGGGGCCGTGGACGGAGGCATGGGAGGCAAGCAAGGCTGGCAGCAGAGCCGGCAGGTGTGGGTGGCGCTGGGCAGGACACACCGCCTCCCATGAAGACAAGGGCCCTGCCAGCACCGTTCCCAGCGAGGGGCCGTCCCTGCCCTCCACCCTCCCTGAACTCCCTCAGCCCTGACTCCCCGCCCCCTCCCCGGGGCCCTGACCTGGTCTGGACAGGGAGCTGCGGCAGCACTGGGGGGCAGCACCACACATTTGCCTGGTGGTCACCAAGCAACTCCAAGCTCTCTGGCCTCAGCCCTGCGTCTGAGCTTCTCTGTGACAAGGCCGGGCTTTGTCATGATCTCAGTGTGTCCAGTATTGTCTGAAAGGACAGGCAGCCAGAGTAGCTGTGCCTGCCACCAAGCAAGCTCTGAGCCTTGGGCTGACCGCGACCCTCCTCCCTCCAGCTGGCAGTAACAGCCCCTTTCTGTGCGGAAAGCAGACCACCTTTGAGGGGGGTGTGCGGGAGCCGGCGATCGCATGGTGGCCTGGGCATGTCCCCGCAGGACAGGTAAGGAGCGGCTGGGGAGGCCGTGTTTCGAGAGTCCCTGCAGGTCATGTGGTCATCAGGGGTGCAGCTGGACTCTGCTGGGCTGAGCAGACGGAGCGGCTGGCTATGACCCCATCCATCACCGAGTGAGACGGAGTCGGGCAGCTTGCTTCTCTGCGGGACTCGTCAGAACCTGAGTTGCTAGTGTGATGGTGAACCCCGAGGGGCCTAGAGTGACCCAAGTGTCCTGGCTCGTGTGGCCCCAGAATCTCTTTTTGCCCAAATGTGCGTCTCCCGGGGACCGATGTTGTGCGGTGACGCTCTTAGTTTCCTCCCCTGGGCTCGGGAGCCCCACTGCGTCAGCCCACAGTGCATATGTCCCCCCAACACTGGGGAGAAGGCAACCACCTGCACCTGCTGCTCCGCGCACTGGCTTCACCTCCAGGTCACTCCTAGGACGCCCGCAGCACAGGCCCTGACACCCCTGCCCTCCACGAGGTCCCACCTGGGAAACGCGTGTCCAGTGTTTGGACCCTGCGCCCTGGGCCAGGCCGCCCCGTGCCAGCTTGTTCCTGCTCCCTGAGGGGAAAGAGGCATCCTCCCCCTCCGCCTGCGCCTCTCCCGGCCCCACGTCAGGAGGTGGGGTGTGCGAACCACACGGGGCTCGTTCAGAGTCTCCCTGACCCTGCCCACGGGCCGCACACGCTCCACTGCCCCCACTCAGACATGAGCGGCTTTGTCCACTGTGGCCTTGGATTCAGAGCAAGACTTAGGGGTCCAGCCCAGGGCCTCGGTGACCCTTCCCGCCGTGCAGCCCCACCAGCAGGGGTCGCTCCCTGCTTGGCGTTTGAGAGCACAGAGAGCTTGTTTTCCAAGGAGCACGTTCTGTGCGGCCCACCAGCTGCTCGGGCTGATGGGACGGTCAGACTGCCCCCCGTCTCCCCACTGATCCCGCACGCTGGAGTGTGTGCGCATCCTTCTGTTTCCTTGTCCTTAAACAGTGCTGGACATCCCTTTGACCAAAACCCTGGTGGCATTCCTCCCCTTCCCCTCTCGAAGGCCTCACAGGGTCTTAACCAAATATTCTCCTTGTGTGCCCCTCCCCATGCCCTTTGGAACCCAGATACAAGACATATGCCTTCCCGTTGCATGGGAAACTTGTCCCCCCTCACTGGACCCATGTGAGGCCAGGGCGGGCCTGGGTGACGCAAGCAGCGATCACCTGTCAGGAGGGTCTCAGTGGAGTGGCCAGCAGTACACGGGAGCCACCAGCCTTCCCAGGCTCCACCCAGCAGACACAGTGTCTTGTCTGTCCTGTGGGCCAGTCCCAGTCAAGCCCTTGTCTCCCCACTGCAGGGTGTGAGCCCCATGGTGCAGTTACAGAGCAGGGACGTAGACACCAGAGGAGGAGGTGCTGGCGTCAAACCCCGGGGGGAGTCCCAGGCTGCTGCTGCCACTGCCCTAGTGTCATGGGCATGACCCACTGAGCACACAGGGGACTCAGCCACCTGGTGTGTCAGTGTGAGCAACAGAGTCAGGAAAGGTGTAGCCCAGGACCACGCCCAGCTGGCTCATGGGCCCTGGACCTGTCGTCTGGGAGAAGACCAGCCTACCTTGCCCTCTTCCTGACGTGTGTTCTCAGGCCTGCAGGGTCCCCTCCCCAGGACCCACACCTGACTGGGAGAACCCACTGTGGCTTTGAGTTGCCATTGTCAGCCAGCCCTAACTGGCCCTGTCCTAGAGCAACGGCCTGGTGACAGTGACCCCTTGGCTGGACCTCTTCCCATCCAGGCCATCTGTGAACACAGGAAGTGACCACATCAGGCACCAGTCAGAAGACCCCACTGGCCCCAGCCAGCTCACAGTGTTAGTGGGGGGGCATTCAGGCCGCTGTAAACCAGCAGTGTCAGCAGCCCAACAGCTCCAGGCCTATGGCTTGTTGGAGCTGGAAGGGCCATCTTCTCTCTCCATGTGTTTATGACTCAGGACAGCCCAAGGCTGAGGAGTCTGTGGGGGCCAGACCAACTGGTTTGAGCCCTACTCTGCCCTCATGGGTTCTGAGACCAGCCAAATCCCTTGAGCTTGGGATACAGCTTTCTCCAAATGAAAGTGGGGTGCTAGGCCCCCTGCAGGGTCATGAGATGTAGGTACATTCACACATACTGGGCACACAGCCAAGGCCACATGTGTGCACCACCCTGGATCGTCATGAACAGGGAGGTTCCTGGGGCCGAGGGGGCAAGGGGTGGTACCTAGGGAAAGGCGGGGGACCTTCACCCCTGCCACACACATCTGTTGGGGGGGATGTGTGTGTGTGTGTGTGTGTGTGTGTGTGTGTGTGTGGATCAGGGATGACTTCCCCTTGAATCAGACACATCTGTGCAGGGGGATTGTGTGTGTGTGTGTGTGTGCACGTACACGTGTATGAGAGTTAGGGATGCCTTACCCCCATATCAGACACATCTGTAGGGGGGTTGTGTGTGTGTGTGTATGTATGTGAAAATCAGGGATGACTACCCCTTGAATCAGACACATCTGTCACATGCATGAGAGCCTGGGATGCCTTCACCTCATGTGCACATGCCTCCAGAGGTGAGCACACACATGCCTGAGCCCCTGGGCGTCCAGGCTGTGGTCACGCCATGTCTGTTTCAGGTGAGCCACCAAGCAGGCAGCCTGATGGATCTCTTCACCACCAGCCTGTCCCTCGCAGGCCTGAAGCCACCCAGCGACAGGGAGATCGATGGCCTGGACCTGCTCCCCGTCCTCCTGCGAGGTCAGCTGATTGACAGGTCGGTACTAGGTGTCCCTCCCACCCCAGCACTGGTGGCCACTGCCCGTGCTGTGACTTTAGATCAGGGACTTCTGTGCTGGGGACACTGGTAGAGGATGGGGGAGGGCCTGTGGACGAGCCCTGGAGCCCGGCTTGGCATCTGGTGGTGGCCTGACCTGGCAGATGTCGGAGGCAGCTCCTGCGCCTCTCTGCAGGCTGGCGCTGGCATGTTTTGCCCTGAGCCCTGTCCTCCTGGTGTCTGGCTCATGCTGGAAGTTCCCATGGTGCCACCCTTTCTGCTTCAAGTGTGAGAAATGGGAGAGCTGTTCTCATTGGCCCTTGGGTCTGGCTAGGAGAAGGCTGCTGCCCACCCTGTGAGCCTTGCCCCCCCTCCAGGCCTGGCATCCAGAGTCAACACCTCCACACCACTCGAGAGGGCCGTGCGTGTAAGATGCTCCCTAGAAAGGAGATGGTTCCTTACCCACCATACCACTATAGGCTGGCTCTGATGGGCACAGATTGAGCACCTGGCCCCAGAGGGGCACACTGCTCTCCTCGGTGCCCTAGCACCACCCCTGCCCTGTTGGGCTTTCTCAGCTGGCCCCCGTCTGCCTGGCATACCCCATCCTGAGGCCCCCTTCCACAGGGTGGGCTGCCTCACCATGGCCACAGGAAGGACAGGCTGGGAGGGCCGCCTCTCAGACCTGGCCACTGTTCGGCAAAGCAGGATGTAAACGTCCATTGTGTCTCCTGTCAGTGTCCAGCCGAGAGCCGCACAGGGTGGTGGCTCCTGGGCTTGGCCTCCAGCGTGGACATAGGGCCCGAGTCACTCACGGCCCTTCCTCCAACAGGCCCATATTCTATTACCGAGGCAACGAGCTGATGGCTGCCACCGTAGGGCAGTTCAAGGCTCACTTCTGGACCTGGACCAATTCCTGGGAGGAGTTCCAACAGGTAACGGGAGCTCGGGAACTGGGTGCTGGGTCCCTCCATGCTGGGCCCCACCCTTCCGTGACCCTTCTCCCTGGCGTGACCTCCTGGGCCCTGCCCCTGCTGCCCGTGCTCGAGCAGGGACTGCCTCAGGTACAGACCAGGGCCAGGCAGGTGATGAGGACAGTGGAGACGCATTGTTGAGTCTGGGGTAGGCTCAGACGACCAGGCCATCCTGGGAAGACAGCAGAATGTCTTCTTGGCCCTGTCCCTTGCAACCCCCTCGGGCCACCACCCACCCTTCACACCTCGAGTCCCCTTCCCAAGCAGGGGACTAGTGGGGTCTACAGCGTTAGCACAGTCCTTCCCAGGTGGCCTAGGGGCTCTGTGCCCCCACCCCCCATTTTTCCTGGGGCTAAAGTTGGGGACAAGTGCACAGGGCCAGCCAGGGTCCCCACTGTCCCTCCCCAGTGTGGCCTGTTCATCTTCTCCTAGGTCTGTTACACGGCCCTTAGCTCTGACCACCCACACCCCAGGGTGGAACCTCGCCAACCCGCCACAGGCCTGGGGTCCAGGGTCGCCCGGTCCCCATGCTCTCCCTTCACACCCCTCCCTTAGGGTCCATGCTGCTCTTGCCCCCACTCCTCCCCCCTCCCTGGCACTCCTCCCCTTGGCCTCCCCACCCACCCCTCCTGGTCTCAAGGTCCTTAGATACGTGAAAACCTTGTTAATTTGATTCAATCGGTAGGGAAACCCATTTGAGTCCATGCAAACCCTGAGTACTAGAACAGTCTGGGCTGAGCGATGGGCCTCGGGCAGGGGCCCTGGAGCAGGTGGCTGGCAGATGGACAGCAGCCCAGTCTCCCTCATCCCTGCCCTGGGCCTGCTGCCACCACTGAGCTCAGGGACCTGGGGTCCCCAGAGTAGCATCTCCCCAGGTCACTGCTTAGTCGGGCTGGCAAAGGGCGAACCCCCCATCAGAAGTGGGGGTGGGGTGTCGGGAGTGGGTGCAGTCCCTCTGTTCTGGCCTTCTCCCTCCCTGTGCCCCAGGGCCAGCCTGGACATCACAGGGCCCTTCCTCAGGCCCCCCTCCTCCCCCTGCAGGGGCCGGTGTTTCCCTTGGAAACAGCCAGCGGTTCAGTAGGGGCATTCTGCTCAGAGCCCAGGCTGCCCTAAGGCAGAGGCCTGGGGGCCCAGACGCTGCCCCTGTGTGTAAGGGCTTCCACCCGGAGGTCAGAGGCATAGCCTCACTGCCCGGCGGGCAAGGTCTCCCCTTCTAGACAGCGTCATCAGAGAGAAGCCCTATACCGCGGGCAGGGTCATAATAAGTAGCTTGACATGCATCCAAGTTACAATGTGAGTCTTTCTCCAGACTAGGTCTTTCTCCAAAAGAAGTGCGGCCCCTTTATGCCAAGTGCAGTGCATCTCCCGCTGTTAAATCCATGTTTGTTCTAGCAGTTCAGCTCCCGGGAGGTCGGGAGGCCGTCCTCAAACTCGTCCCTGAGCCGTGCTCAGTCACCCTGCACAGCTGACACCTCAGGGCTGTAGGGCTTGGCACGGAGCAGTGGCATTTCATGGGTGCCTAACCTCAAGCTGGATTAACACACATTAACTGCTCTGCTGGCCACTGGCCATTAAGACCACAGGCACAGAAACGGTGTGCGGTCAGACTGGCCTGATGCCCGCAGAGAGCCCTCGGCTGGGCTTTCAGAAGCAGGCACGTGACTCCACATGCCCACAGTTCGCCTGTTAACCTTGCCCAGGTCACGGCCACATCTGCAACGCCTGATGACAGTGGCCTGTGTTGGCTAGACCACTGACAGCAGTCGCTACAGGCCGCCTCCTGCACGTTCTTCCTTCAGGACAGACTTAGGGCGGACTTCCTTCTGGAGATCTGGGAGCCCCGGGGGGCAGCCTTCAAGTACCGGGCCACAGAGGGTCCCAGAGCCACCCCTACACGCCCATGTGCAGAGCACACTCATGCACATCAGAGGCTGCCTGGGTAAAGTAGCAGGTGTGGGCCAGGGTCTTGGGGTCTGGGGTCTGCGACCACAGGCCTGAGCTTTTCAAGGGAGAGTTAGCTCATCTCCGTTCTCCATCTTTTCTTGAACATGTTGATCGTACTCCACCCCAGGGCCACCAAGTGGAGCCTGGCTCTAGTGAGCTGCCCGTAGGGTTTCCAAAACCGTAAATCTTTACAGGAAGCAGCCTGCCACATCGTTCTCCCGCAGGGCAGTCGGTGGGTTCAAACTGCTGACCTTGTGCTTCTCAGCCAAATGCCTTAACCACTGCACCACCAGATCCCCTTATCGTGGCTCACCTGTGTGCCCTCTTCTGTCGTCTCTGTTGTGCCTTGGCTTCCAGTCACGGGGTCCTCACCTGCCTGGTGATTCTGAGGAGCTGTCATCTCATCCCACCCTTTACTCAGGCAGATGGGGGGGTTGGAAATGAGCTCTCCCTTCTGAAATGAGCGGCCATCCAGGTGTGAAGCTGACTGGGCGCACGCCTTGTCCCACCTGAGGCAGGAGCATGGTGGGGTCAGGGTTGGCACCACGCTGGGCCTGGTGGGCACAGGCACTCCCTCAGGTCTTCACCCGGCTCTGAAGCACGTGCCCCCTCCCGCCTTGCTTGCAGGGCATCGATTTCTGCCCAGGGCAGAACGTCTCTCACGTCATGACCCACACCCAGGAGGACCACACCTTGTTACCTCTGCTGTTCCACCTGGGGCGAGACCCGGGGGAGCGTTTCCCCCTCAGGTGAGCCAGCCTCGTCGCCCACCAGCACCACGCCATGCCCATGGCGACGCTTCCTTCTAATCGGTTGTTTTCCCAGTTACAGAAGATGGTGAGCTCACTGGGGGGCCATGAAGGGACAAGTGTCACCTCTCCCCACTGGGCCCCCATGCCTCCCTTTTGCCCACACACTGGCTGGCCTTGTCATCTGTCCCAGGCACCCTATCTGCGCCGCCCCTGCCCCCGCGTCCCCAGTGTGCTGAGCCGCCATCCGTCTGGTGACAGACAGCGTCTGCTCCTGTACTTGCTCGCCTGCTGGGAGTGGTTTAGTGGCAGAAAGGACACGTGCCTGGGCCATTCAGAGTGCTTCATTACAGAAGACAGGAGGACTTGGGATGCTGACGGCATTTGTGCTGGACTTTCAGAACGGCACGGCACCTACTCTGGTATCTCTATGCGTAATGAACCCACGGTGAATGCACGTCACCGAACAACGTCCCGCCTGCACTTCCCACAGAGCGGGCTGAAGGAAGGTGGCGGGCATCCCGCCCGCTCTGCCTCCATCACCACATCTGGGGCCCAGACTGGCCACAGGGCACTCTGCCACCAGCCATACCTCCCAGGTCCCCATCACAGGCCGTCTACGTGGCTGGACAGGGCAGAGTGCCGAGGGGACTCTTCTCGCAGGGATCCTGAGGGCCTCACTGCCCTCTCTGGACACTTGAGTGTGGACCCTGCCAGCCCCACCATCCTGGCCAGAGGCAGGGTGCCAGTGCTGAGCTCCCTGCTGCTGGGGTCCACATGGCCTGTGACCTAGGGCTCTCTCCCTGCAGCTTCACCAGTGCTGAGTACCAGGATGCCCTGCAGTGGATCGCCCCAGCCGTGCAGAAGCACCGCAGTACACTGGTGCCCGGCCAGCCACAGCTCAACGTGTGCAACGCAGCTGTCATGGTGAGTGGGCTCCCCGTATAGGCAGCCCGGGACCACCGCATGCCCTGGGGTCTAGGCTCCTCAGTGCATGAGTACCCAGGCCTGACCCCCACAGAGAGCTCTGAGGAGCCCCTCTGACTGAGGCTGCAGGACTTTGGCCCAGAACCAGCTTTCGTCCAGTGACTCAGCCACCTCTCTGGGTGCAGGATGCCATGGCAGCTGGCTCCAGAGTGGGCACCCTGGTCCTCAGGGCTCCTCCCCAATGCTGCCATCCCCCAGCATCCATGGTCTGGTTGGGGCTCCCACTAAGGGACAGGGAGAAGTCTGTCTCCCGGGCGCATGGGCCGTGGTGCTCAACCACTTCTTCCTGACACTGGTGTAACCACCTGGATGAGAGCAGGGTCTGTCCGTGCACCCTGGCTCTGCTGGCTGCTAGGGCAGGAAGAGGGGTCTGCACTGGGTGCCTGTCATCAGGGCACATGGCCCTGTGTGTTCATCTCCAGCCACTGCGTGGTGGTGGGCCCCTTCCCACTACGCCACTTGGCCCCATGGCATCGCTGCCTGCTGGGAACCTGGTCAGGCCCTGCACAGCTCCACTCATGAGTGGCCTCTTGCAACAGCCTAGTGAGGTAAAGCCACTTCTGTTTCTAGCAGGACAGTGGCCCGAGTACCTCAGCCTCTGCAGACCATGTAAGCAGGCCCCTTCCACCCGCTGTGGACCATAGTGGCCGGGGTCTTGGGAGGCTGCAGCTCTCAGGGTAGGGACGTGAAACAGATGGTGCCCTGGGCATCCTGAACGGTCTTGGGTCCTAGGGCCGCCTGGCAAGGACAGCAAACAGACCTCATGGGCGGCCCCAGGAAGTGGGGTCCTAGAATGGCGGGGACCCACCTGCCGGCACTATCTGATCCCACTGCCTGTGCTGTGCTTACCAGGCCGCGCTGCCATAACTGGGACAGCAGGGCAGGCCGTTGGCTCAAGGCACAGATGGTGCACCCAGTGTCCTAAGCCACCCTGTTCGTAGCCCCACACACACCACGTGCCCACACCCAACCCGCCCACTGCCTGTGTCCATGGATGAGTTGGGTTGTGTTCCCAGAGGACTAGTGGAGGGAAGGGGGACCCTCTTGGGAACTTAAATACTGTTAAATGGCGGCTCTGTCTGTGTGGGGGAGAAAAAGACCTTAACACCCAATTGCAGCTGGGCAGCTTGCTTTGCTCCCTAAAAACCAAACCCACTGATGACTGCCCTGGAGTCCATTCCGACTCACAGCGCCCCTAGAGGACAGAGTGGAACTTCCCCAGGGGGTCTCCAAGGCTAGGTCTTCATGGAACCAAAGCCCAAACTGCCGTGGAGTCCATTCCGACCCACAGCGCCCCTAGAGGACAGAGTGGAACTGCCCCACAAGGCTTTCAAGGCTGTCAGTCTTCACAGAAGCAAAGCCCAAACCACACCCACTGCCATGGAGTCCATTCTGACCCACAGCGCCCTTAGAGGACAGAGTGGAACTGCCCCAGAGGTTTCCAAGGATGTCAATCTTCACAGAAGCTGACTGCCTCATCTTTCTCCTGTGGAGTGGGTGATGGGTTTGAACCACTGACATTGTGGCTAGCAGCAGAGTGCCTTAACCACTGCACCACTGGAGCCCCTTCTTTGTGCCCTAAACCCCCTTGGATGATGAACACACAGAGCTCGGCCAGCTGGGTGGCCACGCCCCCCAGAGGTGACTGCTGCACAGCTGGAGCTGTCGTGAGCTGAGACGGGAGTATGCTGCCCTAAGGTGAGGACTATCAGGCGACGGCCACAAGGAACTGCAGAGACTACCCACCCATGCGACGGCATCTCAGGACGGCCAGCGGTGGGTTTGTGGTCCTGAACCTCAGCAGCCTCTCTTCATCCTCACCTCAGAAACCCACTCCACATGTAGTCCCCCCTCCTGGTGACTGTGACATCCCCTCAGGCCCCGCGTCCCCCCTAAGTGAACTTCAGAAGGACTCCACCACCCCAGGCTGGTTTCCGGGCACATGCAGGTGACTGCTGCCACTAAGGGAAGCAGTGGGAGATGGCGCCATCTCCTGGACATCAGAGGAGCTGCCCACCCACAGCCCTGGAATCCAGAAGAGAGCGGGGCTGGCCTCACACCCCTCTGCCACTGAGAAGGAACCTGGACCAGCGCAGGCTGGCCCCAGGACTTTACAGGGTGCTCTGCACTGGGGGGACATGTGACTGACATGTGTCAGCATGCGTGGCCACATGGATATTGTGCGTATGGTGCCTCCTGTGCCCTGCCCCTACACCCCTTCCCCGACCCCCAGCCCCAGCCTGGCTCCCTGTGTTTCCAAGGCCAAGCTGCACCCCAGGTGAGGCACTCGGTGGCCAGAGGCAGCCGTCACATGGCCTCCTGCAGCTTTCCGTGGCATGGCGTGTCTGTCTACACATCAGACAGTGGGGAGCCCTCACCTCACAGACACAGGCTTCGACCTGGTTCTGCACCTTTCGGCCTCTTTAAGGAGCCCCTGGTGGCACACACGATTATACACTTGCTCCGGGCCAAAGGTCGGCAATGCAAACCCACCTCCAAAGAAAGTCCTGCCAGTCTGCTTCCAAAAGGTCACAACTCTGAAAATCCTGTGGACCAGGTCAGCTCTGCGCACACGGTCCCCGCAAGTCGGTCAGTGCGGCCACGACAGTTCTGATCTTCGCCAGCACCCAAGGCTCGGCAACTGCTCATTCACACCGCCTGCTTGGGGCAGCCTCCCATGCAGTGCCCAGACCTGCCAGAGCACAACACAGGGTCCACTTGTTTGGGGGTGCCCCGGAGACAGAGACATAGATGGAAAAAGAGATAGAAAGAGATGGGGGGTGGCAGCTCGAGGCCAAGCCCCACCTGTCCAAGCTCCACTCTGGAGAGCTGCCCGGGAAAATGAAGCTGGCAGTTGAGCCCTTTCTGGCGAGCAGTCAAGGCTGTGAGCGCGCTCTGGGCCAGCCCCTCCTGGGGATTGCTGGCCCAGCTAGGGGTGGACGGCTCCTTGACCGCGGCCCCAGCGGCATCTGCAAGCTGCCGCCCCTGTGCCTGAAACAGTGCTGGGTGGAGCACCTACCCACTGCCCCTCACCTCTGGCCTTCCCCCCAGAAGCCCTTGTGGCTGGTGCCACATCACCCCACGGGCACCACAGAGTCCCCGTGCCCTCCATGACCGCCTGGGGCAGGTGCTTCCCTGCTGCAGCCAGGAGAAGGGTGCGGGGCTCTGAGAGCTGCGTGTCGCTGGGGGCCCCGGCACCCCCCCAGCCCCCATCCGTGCACACTGACAGTTCTTTTTCTGAATTCCCACTTGGCAGAACTGGGCACCCCCAGGCTGTGAGAAGCTAGGCAAGTGTCTGACGCCCCCGGAGTCTGTTCCTGAGAAGTGCCCCTGGCCCCATTAGCACTGCTGGACAGCGCCCAGCCCTGCACACCCGATGGTGTCCCCACGGCCCACAGAGAGCCAGCAGGGCTGGAGACGCCCCAGCCTGGCCCCGAACCAGCACCACACCGCAGCCTTCCTTGTGGCCTGCCCCTGCAGCCCCGACCATGGCCCACCTTGGCCCTTGAGCTGCTGTGGAACTTGGTGAAGGGGAAGACCACTCTCCTGACACCACCACCATCACTGTGTCCCTGTGATCACAGGACCCCCTCTGCTCTGGCCCTCCATCCGCGTGGCCCCACTACCTCAGGCTGGCCTTGGTTGAAGCAGGGCTCCTCCCAGGACCTGTAGGGCCTGAGTCGCTGGCCACCATACCTCATATTTCTCTTTCAGCCCCAGTGTTAAGGGAGCACTGCCAAGGCCTGCGTTCAGACCCTAGTACTGTGCTCCTCTGCCTACACCCTCACCCTACTCTCTCTCCATCACCCATGGGTGGTGGTTGACGGAGGAGGGTATGAGAAGGTGGCACCAGCCCCGCCCCCACACAGTGGGGGCCGATGTGGCTGCCTCCATGCCCACCTGCCTGCCGGCCTTCGGCATCTAAAGCCAGCCAGGCCCTGTTGGGGGCAGAAAAGACAGTGACCAGGAGCAGTGTCTCCAACACACTGTCCCTGAAGGTTGAGTGTGGGGGGGGGGGTGTCTGCCTCAGCCGTAATTGCCAAAGAAATGCTGTAAAACTTGGGGGAATCCTGGAGAAGAATTTTAGAATAAAGTAGCCCAGAGCACGGAGCTCTGTGGGCTTGTCTTTCAAAAGTGAGGTGGTGTGTCCCCTGCTGTCCCGTGGGCCCGGAGTCATGGTAGGAAGGCGGATACCCCAGAAGAGCCTGGGGCTGGGACTCAGGCCCTGTGTGCCCTCTCCATGCTTCCCAGGACTCTCCCACCCTGAGGCTGAAGGGGCCGAGGTCACCCCCTCAAGGACCCAGGTGCCGTAAGGTGGGCCTTCCAGCAGGCCTGGCTACACACTCGACAGCCCAGATGGGGAGGTGGGCTCCCCTGGGACACCCCTGCCTTCCTCTCGTCTGTGTCCTGTCTGCTCAGACCTCCCTGATGGCTTCAGAACACACCAACGGTTCCCTTGGCCCACGGTTCCTTCTGTGGAGCACCCCCACCTCACCCACCTCCTGGAGGGTCACCCAATCAATACTAGACCGAATGGCCGGGCAGCAGACTCAGGCGGGAAGGCCAGACCCCCAGGGTCAGCCCAGTGGCCATCCCCACAAGAGCAGCTAGGGCCGCCAGCAGAAAGGCCCCAAGCAGCGAGGCCAGAGGGAGGGGGCGCCACCCGATCACCCAGGGACGCCGAACATTCCTGGGCACTTGGGGTCCCCCCGCCCCCGAGGGAATGCGTGGGCAGTGGACAGGACAGGCAGGATGCTGCTGCTGGCCCAAACCACCAAAAGCGAAAGCCCACCTCCCACGTCCAGACGGGCGGAGTTTCCTTTGTACCGAGATCTTATTTCACCGACCGCTCTCATGCGCAGGTCACTCTTGGACATCCCTGATGCCGCGCTGGACGGCAGGTTCCCACCTCTTCCCAGTAGTACACCAATGGTGCGTCCGTCCACTAATGGTGCGTCTTAAAATCGATGGTACCTTACACTCGATGAAATACGGTCAGTGCTGAAGGAGGCCTGGGTCCCCTGGCGCACTTGCCCTGCCCCTCGCGCCCCGCCCCCTCGGGCTTCGCCCCGCCTCCTGGAGCTCCACCCCGAGGCTTGCCACGCCCGCCTCGCCCCGCCCCGCCCCGCCCCGCCCCGCGCAGGCGTCACGCTCATCACGTCCAGCCCCGCGCTTGCGCGGAGCCACGGGACCCGGCCCACTTCCTTCCCACGCTGGCTGGGACTCACCCCGGCAATGGCGGACTCGGAGCTGCAGCTGGTGGCGCGGCGGATCCGCAGCTTCCCGGACTTCCCCATGCCGGGCGTGCTGTTCAGGTGAGGGCGCGGTCCGAGAGGCCTGGGCCACGTGGGGCGGCGCGGACAGCCCGACTGACAGAGCCTGGCTCGGGCTCCTGCGGCGGCCCGGGGTCTGCGCCCCCGGGGCCGTGCACTGGCGCCTCCCTTCGGTCTCTAGCACAGCCGCTGGCGGAGCGCGCGCGCGGCTGGCCCTTCCCGAGTGCAAGACCCCAGAGGTCGTGCGGGCCTGTGTGGCCTTGGGGGAGACACCTCAGCCCCGTATGCCTCGTTTTCCCGTTCGGTGGATGGGCGCGGGCCCGGGAGCCCGCACCCCGTGCCCCTCGACCGCGGACCTGCTGATCGCCTGATCCCGTGTTCGCAGGGACATCTCGCCCGTCCTGAAGGACCCCGACTCCTTCCGCGCGTCCATCAGCCTTCTGGCCGGTCACTTGAAGAAGACCCACGGCGGCAAGATCGACTACATCGCAGGCAAACTGGGGGCGGTCCGGAGCCCGTCTGGGCCCCAAGCATCCCTGGCCTCTTAGTGCCCGAGGGCAGCTGTGGCTGGCTCGGCTTCTTTCCGGGGCTTTCTCCTGCTGGGGTTGATCTGCCTTCGGATGTCTAGCCTAGAAGGGGCTCCTGGGCTCCCCAGAGAGGGGCGTGTGGGGGGCGTCAGTGTGGGCACATTTCCTGCCCTTCACCTGTTAGCCCAGGGCTGGAGGCCTTCAGGGCAACTGGCCAGAATGGGCTCTGTGCTTGGTGGTGACTCGGTCAGTGTGGTAAGATGGGTCTCCCCTGTCACTGCTCGGAGAGGCACCCACCGAGGCCAAGGAGCCAGCCCTCTCCCAAGTTCCTGCTCAGGCCCAGAGAGTGCCTGGCATTGCTGAACGGGTTGGCAGTCTGTCCCTGGGAAGCGTGACCCAGATCCTCTGGGCCAGGCTCATTTTCTCTGTTCCCACTGTGCAAGCAGGCGTTGTACTTGTGCTGTGTACCAAGGCCTGTGCCAGAGGCTAGGGCTGCAGTAGAGGGAAGGCAGAGGTCCCCGGAAGAGCCCAGGGAGGAGGCGAGGTGGGAAGAGGGCCAAGGGTCCCTGTTGGCTCTCTCTGTGAGAGGCAGGATTCCTCCTCTAGCACCGCTGCTCCCCTGGGTGGGTGCAGCTGGGCATTCGGGCCGTCACCCCTGCTGCAGACCTTTTGGTGGCCCTGCTATAGGGGGAGCCCCAACTCTTGCTCGGGGACATCGCCTCACTTGGCCATTGCCTACCTTCTGCAGCAAGCCATCCCTGACCACACCCCTAGGTTGGGTAGAGTCTCCCTTAGGTACGAGTACCCTGAGCTTCCTATCACTGCGTGTCCATCTTGCCTGGCACCTGGGCGTGTTGGCTGCATCCGCTTGATGAGAGCCCCTGGCAGAGGCTCCTTCTGATGGACAAGGAGCTGACCTTGTGTATGCCCCATGCGGGCCCTTTGCTGAGTCCCCTGTCACAGTGAGCCCAGTCATGAGGTGGGGTGGGGACCCCCTGAGGTTTGCAGGGAGGCCAAGTGATTGTCCAGTGCCACACAGCAAACAGGCAACCATGTGCAGCTGACCCTGGCCATAGCTGCCCTGTGGGTCCCAGCAGCCCATTCCCATGCAGACGTGGGCTGTATGGACAAGTAGCTCTCAGCTGTCCATGGTTGGAACCCCAAGGCCAGGGACTCCTTGGAACAGGTGGTTCCCTTCCAGCACTTGTCCTGGGGGCCCCCCACGGAGCCGTACTGCATGGCTGCTGCCTAATACCCTAACTGTTCCCTTGGCAGGTGTAGACTCCCGTGGCTTCCTGTTTGGACCCTGTCTGGCCCAGGAGCTCGGTCTGGGATGCGTGCTCATTCGGAAAAGTGGAAAGCTGCCAGGCCCCACAGTATCTGCCTCTTTCATGCTGGAGTATGGGAAGGTGAGAGTGGGAGGAGCCCGAGCTGCACCCCATGTCCATTGGGGCCGTGGAGGTTGGAGCAGCAGACACAGGGATATACAAGGTCGGGATGCTCAGCTGGCCAGGGACTCCAGGTGGGCCTGGGCCAGGTGAAGACCCCCACGCCACCTCTCCTTCAGGCTGAGCTGGAGATCCAGAGGGATGCCTTGGAGCCAGGCCACAGGGTGGTCGTGGTGGACGACCTGCTGGCCACCGGAGGTGAGGGGCCTGGCACCGTAGTGCTAGTGAGGGTGGGGGCATGTTGAATGCTGATGGGGGCCCAGGAGCTGGGGCGTCCCTCACCTCCCTCTACTCCACAGGAACCATGCGAGCAGCCTGTGAGCTGCTGGGCCAGCTGCGTGCCGAGGTGCTGGAGTGCGTGAGTCTGGTGGAGCTGACCTCCCTAAAGGGGCGGGAGAGGCTGGGCACCATCCCCTTCTTCTCCCTCCTGCAGTACGAGTGACAGTCGTGATCTGGGTGATGGCGACTAGTGATTGCAGATCTGGCCGGGAGGCCCAGCACCCGCATTTCCCAGCCTGGAACAGGGAGTGGACTAGGCAGCTGTCATGACCTCTCCTGGCCACCAGAGATGTTTTATCTTTTTATCATTTCACTGGTTCAGCTAGTCTCCCAGTTGGCCTGGGCCCTTCTGTTAGGGCCTGGTAGTGTTAAGGCCTGGGGGCAGAGCCAGCCCAGGCTGCTGCCAGGTCATTTATTCATGTAGCAAAATGCAAATAAATGAATTTGCTACAATTGCTGGCCACTGTTGTTGATGGCATCTCTACCTGGAGACACCCCTCAGGCTGGAATCCAAGGCCACTACTGACCCAGATCCTGCTATCCCCCACTTCTCTCCTGTGAATCAGACTTTGAAGGGCGGTGACTCTGGCCTTGTCTCAACACAAAGAGCTCCACAGGGAAGCTGTGGAAGTCATTTTATAGGGGCTACAATTGAGGCCCAGAGGGTAACAGGAACTGAGGAAGTCAGTTGGGGCTGGGGGTGGATGGAACATGAGTCCCATCCTTATTAACCACCACAGACGGGTTAAAACAACACAAATTTATTCTCTTCAGTTCTGGAGGTCAAAGTCCGAACATCAGGGCATGGCAGACTCCCAGAGGCTACAGGGGAGAACCCATTGCCTTCCCTCTCTCACCTAAAGGCACCTGTGTTCCTTGGCTGTGGCCCCTTCTTCCCCTTCAAAGCCATCAGTATGGCATCTTCAAATACCTCTCCCTTGTCCAAGGCCCCCAGTGATTGCACTGGGCCCACCTAGATGGCCCAGGGTACCTCCCGTCTCAGATTCTATAACTTCCTTTTGTCTGCAGAAGACCCTTTGCGATGTCAGGGCACGTTCCCAGATCCCTAGATGAGGACAGGACTGTCTGGGATTCTGTGCATCATGCTGTCCTGGTCCCAGCCCACTGTCCTTGACAAGCCCCAAGGATGCTGGGACCCTGCCCCTACGGCAGCCAAGACAGCCACCAGCTTAACATCAATACACTGTGCACTGGCCCTGAGACGGCCCCACTGCTGAGCAGGTGGGGCACGCAGCCCCGAATGCCCACCTCATCTCACCCCAGCTGTGCCAGGTGGCGGGGTGTGGCCACTGCAGCTCACAGCCCCTCCTCGGCACGGGCCAGGCGGGTCAGCCGTACAGTGAGGCCCGCAAGGTCGGCGGCCTTGTCTAGCTTGAGGTAGGTGTCGGCGCGGACCCGGTGCAGGCTGAGCCAGTCCGGGAGCAGCTCGGCGAGCAGCTGAAGGTGCTGCTCCATGTCCCCTGCAGAGAGGCAGAGAGAGCACACGTGAGGGGCTGGGGCCGCGGGGATGCACCCGGCAGGCCCACCTAAGCCACAGTGCAGCTGCCCTCTCACCAACCCCCGGCCACAGAGCAGTGGCACGTACCAGGGCTCATGGGGGTGCGGACAGTGCAGCTGCCCTCTCACCCCTCCCCCAGCCACAGAGCAGTGGCAACATACCAGGGCTCATGGGGGTGCGGTAGCTGCCCACCATTCTGGCACAGGCTGTCTCCATGGTGAGTGCCGGCTTCCGCTCAGACACGAAGACGCTGCGCAGCACGCGGGCCAGCTCGGGCAGCCGCTCAAGCCGCTGCAGCCGCAGCTCCTGTTCTGGGCGCCGCGTCATCAGTGCCAGCTGCTTCTGCGCCTCCTTGGCCCGGACCTAGGTGGGCACGGGCAGGTCAGCAGGCAGCCCCCACCCCCACCCCCACCCCCAGGATCACCATGACTCACCCGTTCCAGCAGGGCCTGTGACACCCCCTTAAGGGCACTGGGGGTGGTGGGTGGTGTGACCAGTGGGGCAGGGCTGGGGGATCCAGGGGTGCTGGGCTCGGCTGTGCGCGAGGCCAGGTTGTTCAAGGCCTTTTCCATCTGAGGGAGCGTAGGAGAGATCACAAGGAGCCTGCACCCCAGCCCCCCACCCAGGAGCCCGGCATGATTTCCAGGCCCCCCCGTCTGCCCCCAGCACGTCGGCCGCCTGTCCTTGTCTACCAAGGGCTGAGAGTGACCAGGATCTGATGGGCAATGGCAGCCTGGCCAGAGGCCAGCGGTCAGCTGGTGACTGGACATGCCCTGAGCCCTGTGGATGGATTCAGAACCACCCACCCTGTGGTGGCAGAGTGGCCTCCCTGGGACACCAGCCAGGGTGCCCCCACCCAAGCCCAGCAAATGCCCCCAGGCCCCCAGCCTCACCCTGGGCGACATTAGGCTTCGAGCTTGGGCCAGCACCTCCTGGGCAGTGGCCAGCTTCTCCGTGGGTGGTGGCTGGGGCATCTCAGCTGGCTCGATGTCAGGCACCTCGTCCACATTGAAGCGTGGGTGCCAGCGGGTTAGCTGGTCCTCGGGCACCTCCACTGGGGGGTCCAGGGCCGCCAGGAAGGCCTGTAGGGGTGGGGATGGAGGCCCAGCTGAGTGATCCCTTGGGCCTGGCGCTGACAATAGGGCAGAGCCAGCCGGCCAAGACCCACTCACCACATGATGCTCCTTGACCCGTGCTACCAGGTTACGGCTGAAGACCTGCCTCCGCTGCAGGAGCCATGATGCTGTGAGCTGGGGAGCCACCCCACCGGCCTCTGCGGGAGAGTCCAGGACTGAGTCACAACGGCTACCCAGCTCTGACCAGGGCCCCCATCTGGCACCGTGGCAGAAATCCAGGCTCCAGGGTCGCTCTCCCTGACCCTGGTGGGCCCGGCACTCACCCGGGTCCAGTAGCGGCTCGATGGTGAGCTGGTAGTCCGACCGCTTGATGCCGTCCTTGAAGGTGGGGACGTTGCGCTCCTGGCGGAAGCGGTAGGAAGCAGGATACACCGTTTTGATCTGGCCCACGTTACGCTCCTCAAAGCGCCTTTAAGGTGAGGGTGGGGAAGTCAGAGCCAGGCAGGGCACCCATCAGACCCCGGGGCTGGGCGAGGCCCCGCAGGCCGCTCACCTACGCATCATGTCCTGCACGCCCTGCTGGACCTTGGCGAAAGTCACAGTCTCGGCACGGTTGTGCAGCATGCTCACTATGGTGTCCATGCTTCGGAACATCTCGGCCAGCACCTGGAACTTGTAGGGTAGGACCAGACCGGGGGTGCCAGGCTGGGCCAGGGCATGGAAGCGCTGGTAGGCGGGTGCCTTCTCCCTGCTGCAAGGGATGGGCCTGGTCAGAGGCAGCACCCCCCAACCCCCAGTGCCCAGCAGCAGGGCAACTGCTAGGAGCTAAGGCTGGAAAACCCACCCGCAGGGATGCACTGCACTCTACAGTTTGCAAAGCCCTCGCACTCTCACAGGACCAAGTCTGCTGCCCCGTGACTCCCAGGGGCTCCTGACCCTCTCCCCCGCCTGTTTCCTCCTGTGTAAAAACAAAGCAAGGGTGACAGGCCCTGGGGGGACAGAGACAAACACTCCCTGACAGCTCAGTGAGGCAGGAGTCATGGTACCACTTTACAGGTGGCAGGACTTGGGGGGGGGGGCGGGGTGGAAGCAGCATCTGGCCCCAGACTCCCCATTGACTGTCCCTGCCCTGGTGGGAGGACTGGCCCCATAGCCCCTATGAGCCCACCCTGTCTTGGAGTACTTGGCCATCCTCTCGGCCCCGCCAGGCTCACCATGGTTCCGCTGGGCGCCCCTCGGACTTTGGCGTGCTGCTCTCGCTGGCATCTTCCAACCGGGCTCTCAGTGCCTGGACTCGTGCGCCCAGCTCCTGCGCCCGCTGCAGGCATGCCTGGAGCTCAGACACGGTGTCCTTCCTGGGGACCTGGGACAGGAGGCGTGTCAGTGGCCACCCCAACCCCACCTCCCCCAAGCTGCGCCCTCACCACCCCTCCTTACCTTGTCCCCCTGGGTCGCCAGGCGGGGATGCTGGCCTGCTGGGAGAGTGACCTTTTTTATCTTCTTGCGAGGAGCTGGGGCTGCGGAGCCAGGGGCCACCGGGGAGCTGGGGCTGAGGGCCTGGGTGGGGGAGGACCCCAGGCATACTGGCTCTTCCAGAGGGTGACCCCCACGGAGCCTCAGGTCATCAGGGTCCTGTGAATGGAGACCGCGGCCCTGAAGACAACTGCCCTCCGCTGCAGCCAATCAGGAGGGGCCTTCGGATCTGCTCCCCGGCCCCTAGCCCTGTCCTGCAGTGCGAAGGCATGCTCCGGTCCGGCCCTGCCTGCTCTAACCCCTGACCCCGGCTCTGCCCGCCCCCTGCAGTCACCGCAAACCTGCTGACCCTCTCCCCAGCCTCCAGTGTCCCGTTCCCGCCCAGCCTCGCTCTTCCACCTCCCCTCCTCGTCTACGCGGGCCTCTGGGCCGCCCCCCGTCGGACCCCTCCCACCAGGCCTCAGTTTCCCCTCCCTGCCCCCGGCTGTCCCCCTCTCGGCCGGCCTGTTCGCCCCGCCCCCTCACCGCATCGGCTGGCTCCGGGGAGGGTGGCGGTGGCAGCTGCAGCCTCCTGCGCGCGGGCGGCGAGGGCTCATCGTGCACAAGGGCTGCGGCGCAGCGGGCGCGCTTGCGGCTGCCGCTGAGCGGGCCACTAGGGGTAAGGGCTGTGGCGCGGGGCGCCGACTTCGCGGGGCTGGGAGTGCGCAGGGCCTGCTTGGCCCGCGGCAGGACGGCCGGAGGGCCGCTGCGGCGGCGAGAGTAAAAGTCGGTGAGGCGGCGCTGCGCCATAGCGGGCCGGACCGGGATCCCGGAGGAAGTGGCTTTTCGCGCCCTGTACGCGCGCTTTTCCCGCCGGCGCCAGGCCCCGCCCAAGCCCCGCCCCAGGCCGAACCATGAGGGCCTGAGGCAGGGAGATGGGCCAACTCGAAAGCGCTCGGGCGCATGCGCGCCGCCCGCCACAGCGGAGGTGACCCCAGGTGGCAGTGATGCGTAATCGCAGCAGGGTCCATGCGCCGTGTGTAGGTCTTAATGAGACCCCCACATTCCAGTTGAGTGCAGTCTTCCAAGCCCGCTGTATGTTCCACACTCCGCAGCACTCCTGCATTGGGCGCTGGTTTCTCAGAGTGAAACCCAGAACTAGTTAAACACGGAAGCGTGCGGAGCAGGGAGTGTCTGCGCCGTGGCACGAAGCGCATTCCCCGGGCGCGCAGCTCCAGACGCGGCGGCAGGACCGGCAGCGTGCAGGAACCCTGGGGAGGGTGCTGGGAGGGTGCAAGGCGCGGGAGGACAGCCCCTCACGCATCCTTAATAACTTACAACGACGGGGGCGGCTGCAGTGTGGAGGTAAACCGAGGCACAGGGCTGGAGTAACTTCAAGGTCACCTGCTGGGGAGTGGGGAGCCGGGGTCTGCAGGCGGGCAGGAAACGGCACCTCACCAAGGGCTGCCTGTGGATCATGGAGTGTCTGGAAGTAGACAGTGGTGACCCGCCACAACTCTTGAGTACTAAAACCACTGAGCCCACGGTGAGAGGGTGACGCCATGATGTGTGAATTAAAGCTCCGCCGAGCTGTACTTAAAAAAAGAAAACGGGAGGGCTGCCTTCAAAGTGACTGGGATGAGAAAAAGCATTCGGTTTTAGGGCGTAAAGCTTTCATTTTCTTGAGTGGGCATCCAACTTAGATTCCTTGGCAAGTTTGAGGACCTGGCGCGGAATCCTACATTCCAGACGGTGCAAGATAAACAAGCCGTCGCCACCACGGAAAAATGCCGCCAGGCCGGTGCTGGGTCCTCAGAGTGTGTCTCTGGGAAGGAAGACAATGCGTGTTGTCTTTGGGAGGGGGAGGGGCTCGGTTAGTCCTTCGAGGCCGAGTTCTCTACAGAGCGTGAATGTGCCTATTTTAAACATTAAATAAGGGAGGCATCAGTTGGCTGGGGCAGTTGGTACTTGTCCAGTAAGCTCCAGACTGAGAGTTGGGGGAGATGCACTGGGAGGGGGGAGCTTTGACCCCTTTCCAGTCTCAAGAAGGCGCCTGACTAGACCCGTGTTTTGCAAACAGCCAGTTGCAAGTTATTAAAGAATCAAAATAAAAAAAAAAAAGTGAAGAGGGTTAAGACTGGCTTTCTTAAGGCAACATTTTATTAGCGTTTTGTGTTGGTGTGTGTGCTGTGGGTGTGAAACGGTTTGCCTTTGGGGCCTGCGGGCGGGAATTGCCTGTGGTAGAGCGTGAGGGGACTTTCTGAGTGGTGGCACTGGTCTCCACTTGGCAGGGTTTGGACACTCAGATGTGCATGTTGGTAGAAACTTACAGGGCAATGTGTTTAAGATGTGTGCATTTTACTATGTAAACTTACGTAAAACTGTAAGATTGAACTCCAGCCAATGGCGTGCATACCCATGTGGTAAGGGGTGAAAAGTGCTCACCCCCAGCACTTTGAGATGCATCAAAGGAATCAGACAGACACAGGGATGGACATACAGATAGACAGGTGATAAAGCCAGAGTAGTAAAACGTTAAGCATAGAGTCTGGGGGGTACGTCTGTGAGTGTTCGTTGTAAAATTCTTTCTACCTCACTATGTGTTTGAAGGGAGCTCTGGTAGCAGAGTGGCTAAGGCACTTGACTGCTAACCAGAAGGCTGGCGGTTCAAACCCACCAGCCACTCCTCGGAAGGAAGGTTGGGCAATCCTACTTCTGTAGTGATACTGCCTCGGAAACCCAAGGAGGGGTCGCTATGAGTCGGGGCCGACTCGACGGCACATAACAACAACAACAACAATGTGTTTGAAAGTTTTCAAAATAAATTATTAGGGAAGTATATTTCTCACTGTGGATTGTGGATAAGGAAGCTTGAAAGCTGACAGCCCAGAACACATCTCTGAAAATCAGAAAAACACCACAGGCCAGGTCGGTGTATATGGTCCATGTCTCTGGCAGTAGCTCAGATGAATTTTAGCTTGCTGGTCCCCTCTGTCTCTAGCCAGGCGTCCTTGTGCAGGCTTACCTTGTCCGACTCTTAAGTGACAACTCTAGGGTCTCTTCGAGCTGTATTATTCTGTCCCATTCTAATTAAGATGGGAAACCTGGCTTTTCTCCAAGGGAACAGAAGGTGATCTGGGGGTCAGAGTGGCACACACTCCAAATTTGAGCCTGCTGTGCATATTAAAGAGGAAAAGCCCCATGTGGGATCCTAGAAATGTGGTGTTGTTGTTCGGCACTGTCGAGTCAGCTCTGACTCATAGTGACCCTCTAAACAGCAGAACAAAACACTGCCTGGTCCTGTGCCAGCCTCACAATCCTTGCTATACCTGAGCCCATCTCATTGAGGGCCTTCCCCTCTTTCATTGGCCCTCCACTTTACCAAGCATGACATCCTTCTCCAGGGAATGGTCCCTTCTGACCACATGACCAAAGCAGGCGAAGTCTGGCCATTCTCGCTTCCAAGGAACATTCCAGCTGCACTTCTTCCAGGACAGATTCTTTTAGCAGTCCATGGTACTTTCAGCTTTCTTCACCAACACCACTACTCAAAAGCAGCAACTCTTCTTCAGTCTTCCTTATTCGTTGTCCAGCTCTCACATCCGTATGAGGCAATTGAAAATACCATGGCTTGGGTTAGGCACACCTTAGTCTTCAAAGAGACGTCTTTGCTCTTCAGCACTTTGAAGAGGTCTTGGCAGCAGCTTTGCCCGGTGCAGTATGTCGTCTGATGTCATGACTGCTGCTTCCGTGGGTGTTGATTGTGGACCCAAGTAATAGGAAATCTTTGCCAACTTCAGTCGTTTCTACATTTATCGTGATGCTCCCTGTTGGTCCGGTTGTGGGGATTTTTGTTTTCTTTATGTTCAGGTGTAATCCATACTTCAGACTGTAGTCTGTAATCTTCTTCAGAAAGTGCTTCAAGTCATCCTCACTGTCAGCAAGCAAAGTTGTGTCATGTTGTTGTTGTTGTTATACGCCGTCGAGTCAACCCAGACTCATAGCGACTCCTCCTTGGGTTTCCAAGGCAGTATCACTACGGAAGTAGATGACCCAACCTTCCTTCCGAGGAGTGGCTGGTGGGTTTGAACTGCCAGCCTTCTGGTTAGCAGTCGAGTGCCTTAGGCACTATGCTACCGGAGTGTCATAGTGGAGCCTAATCACAGGCACAGCCTCTTCATAAGACCAACTACACCAAATTGTTTGGCTCAAGGTCCTGCATCAGGAGGGAGGGAGCCATCCCTTCTCCCAGCTACACAGTGACTTCCCCCTTTCTGTTTCATATTCAGAAAATAAAGAAGCACCTGGTCTCGGAGAGGAAGAGGCCGCTGCAGCTAACCACAAGCGACTGCTCACTATCTGGCTCCCGGCACAGCAGCCCAGCCGTTTGGCCAAGTCCCCGCTCTCCACAGATAAGCTCATGTGTGGGTACGACCAGAGCCTCGCCAGCGCCTCCAAGCCTGCACAGGCTCTTCCAGAATTTCATTTCTCTTACCACCTGCCTGCCCCCCAGCCTGGAACTGCAGTCTCCCAGAGCTGTGTGAGAAAGCGGGAACTAAGTCCCAGGGGCCATCAGAAATCAGGGAGGCCGTGCTGGATGTGGATGCCTTCCCACGTGGCCGCCACCCGCTGTGTAACTTAGTTCCCTCCAGGGTCCGTGCTACAGAAGCAGACCCTGAGATAAGGGTTTGGGAACAAATCATTCAACTGGGAGATTGTCCCAGGAATAGGGGTGGGGAGGTGACACACAGAAAAGGAGCCAGTAAATGGCAGGTTTATGAGTAGATAACCACAGTGGGCAATGTGGGTTCAGTTCCTTCAGAGACCTCTGAGAGCCGTCATAGAGCACCCTCTGAGATGGCCACTCAGAGGCCAAGGAGCTTGGGTGTTTTTACCCCAACTCCATCCCTCATGGTTGAGGGTACCCCAGAGGCAGTAAAGCCCCACCCCACATGCGGGCTGCTACTCTGTTAGGCGAGAAGACCCAGGAAGCCATCAGTGTGGATGGAGCCCCGTGGATTAGAGCTGGGGCCTGGGTTCATGACCTCCAACTTGTAATGAGGATGAGGAGTGTGGTTAAGCCAGGACCTGGGGTCAGACAGCCAGGCTGGAATTACAAGACGAGACTGCACAAGTAGCTGTACCTCTTTGAGCACCAGTGTCCTCATCCATAGAAGGAGTGACGGTGATAACACATGGCTCACAGGGAGCTTGTAAGGGGCTGTGGGTAAAGTGATTATGGCAGTAGCAGGCCCTCAGCTAAGGAGGGTAGCTGGAGCAAGCTGTCATCACCATCATCATCACCGTCATCACCTCACCACCATCATCATCACCACCACCATCATCATTGTCACCATCATCATCACCACCATCATCATCGTCACCATCATCGTCATCGCCTCACCACCATCATCACCGCCACCATCACTGTCACCACCACCACCATCATCATCCCCATCATCGTCACCACCATATTACCATCACTACTATTATTGTAATTGCCACCATTGTCATCCATATTATCACCACCTACTGTGTCATCAGTGGTAGCAGACATTAATCTACAGGTAAATAGGTGGTTAGACAGGCTGAATGATCAGGTGAGTCTATGCAAAAGGGAATATATCCACGAATATATGTAAGATTGGCAGATGATATTTCTACACACGTATTTGTGTGTGCTATAAGAATGTCCATAAATATAATAGCGCTAACAAGAGGCAAAGTTACAATAACTTCTTAGCCACAGCCAACAACTCAGGGAGTGAGTACTTGGACCTGTGGTCTGGGACCATGGTCGCAGGGGACTT